CACTGCGTGTCGGAACTGCGAAGTAAAGGATTTTGCAAGGGGTTACACGTGTAGAAAAACACTAATATCGTTAATGCAATGGGTTCGGTCAGGAAGAAACACACTGTCGCACTGCTCATAGTTACAGATACGCACTTGCTAGATGACTGTACACTAGATCCTGTTTCAAAAGGGCTAGCTTCCATAGAGAGAAGACAACAACCATTCCAACAGATTTTTGGGCAAAGAAAGGTACTTGGCCGTGAAGGTGGATGCTGTTGTATATCGGGACTGAGCAGTATGATCGCAGCTCAGATCCAGTACATACTGTATTGATCGATAGGCTGACTGCGCAGACGGATATCATAACATTGACATCATCCATGGGAATAGTTAGCATTTACGTGAGATTTTTCGTGTGTTCCTCGCTTACGTCACCCTCTGAAGCAGCCACTGATGAAAATGTTTAATGAAAGCAGTCTTAGCACTACCAGCATGAGTTGGAAAAATTGGAGCCCCTACTGAAGTCCGGTCTACTACTTACTCACCAAGACCCTAAACAGGAAACTGCTTGATCACGGATGCCTCCATTTATGGAATTGGAGCAGTCGTTTTTCACCGATTTCCACTTGGTTCAGAAAACTTGCAGCGAAAGCTGAACGAACTCATACCGCATTGGAAAGAATTGCAGCCAAACTGAGAAAGAAGCATAGACTATCATCTTTGCTCTTCAGAAGTTCCACAAAGTACTATACTGATGGCACTTCATACTAACGAAGGACCACGAGCAACTTCTCGTAATCTGTGGATCTAAAAAGAGTAATTCAGTTTACAGAAGAGTAGTAGGGGGAGTTGAATGGTATAGGTAGAACTTCGTCACATCTAGGCTCACTCAGACAGCCGCCACAATCCCGGAAAAGCACTGTACGCGCGTTTCATCCTTTCGGGAATCATCAGTAGTGCGCATTCCATCGGACCCTTGGTAGGGCTCGAAACCGCAACTCGACTGTTGCCAGTCCGTGGTTGAGACCACTGAGCTACGGGGGACGGTAACGACCATCGTGAATAAGTTACTAGATGTGATATAGCGCCGCTCACTATCCACTGACTTACACGTTACTGCCGTGCAGAGGACAGGGTAGCCCCCTCACCAAGCGACGAGCTTAACAGACTTAAGCCGCCAATTATCTTATCTAATTCAGTTTATGCTGCTAATAGATTTTAACGATGGGTAATTTTACGCCCAGAACATACAACATGCAATAATTATCAACTGATTCCATAATATAAAAGTCGCATCCAGCAATCAGTGCCAATAAACTTGAACCAGAAGACGCAGTGATTGTCGCAATCGTAGTCGAAGCAGATATCAGCCACATCTTGCCATGCATGCCTTACTATCGGTCAATGTCAAGATGGTTCAGCAAGCCACGAAACAGGACGCAATGTTACAAGCAGCATTTAGCTATCTAAGACTAAGCTGTCAATGTAAATGTTCAAAAGAAGAACTTACTCAGTTTTACTCGCGTCGCAACTCTTTTTCGGAAATAGACTCTTGTCTGTTTTCGCTGATCGTATCGTTTTTCCAGAAGTAATTTGGCGCCGTGTTTGAAGGCGATCGTATATTGACCATCCACGAATCACCTTTATGAAAGCATTCGCTCGGAGCTGTCGTTTGGTCAATAATGGATAGTCGACCGGAACATATTGGTAGAACCTGTTGTGAAGGTTCTTATGCTTCCAAATCGCCGGTATGAACAATGTTGCTGCTTCGCCCCAAGCCTGAGTCATGTTGGTCTCGGACACATATGAATTTTGCGGGACCAGTCGATAGCTCTTGTCTTCTACTGCTCCCGGCCTAGATCAAGTGGCCTGAAGGTGCCGGGATGAGAAACAAGTCCGCATACAGCACAATCTTTACATTGAGGCATAGTTTAGTCAGCACAGCCTACCAGCAGCAAGTACGTCGGAAAACTGGCCGCAGTTCACATCTTACTAAATCAGAGTTTCGTGCACAAAATGGTATCGATCACAAAAGGACTGCACCGTATTATTTTCAATCAATTGGGTAAGTGGAAAACTTTGCCGATGCCCTGAAACACCTATTAGTGAAGCTGACGCAAGGAGGGTCGGTGAAAGAAAGATTTGTGAGATTCTTATTGAATTATCGAGCCACCCCAACACACAATGCCACCTATGGGAAATCCCAGCTAAAGCCCACAGATATCGAAGCTTGGGAAATTTTTGGTTTGTTGACAAGTAAACTTCCAACAATATATCGTACGAATAATACCATGAAGTAGCAATGCAACAGGCGGTTTGGAACACTGATTAGGAATTTCAAAGTGGGAGACCTGGTACTCGCCGTTTATGACAAATTAGGTGGGACTAGCTGGGTACCAGGACGAGTGATGCCATGTCGAAGCATTGTACTACACAATGTCCAGGTTGGTACGCAGATATGGTGTCGTCCTACTGATCAACTTAGGCCACGTCATACAAGAAACACAGGGCATCAAGTGTCAACGGAGTTGATTCTATCAAACTGATGGATAGTTAGGAGCCGAATACCGCTGTTAGGTGTAGATTTCAGTTGATGGAACATACCGAAAAGGAACCAGAGCCAAGGCCTAAAAGAATAAGATGATTTGTGCAACTTCAACAGGTGGACCTCCGTAGAAGATCTACACGGTCTCTAGTGTAACTCATTTTAAGAAGGGGAGTGTTAGGGGAAATGATCATTAGAGTTGCATCTTGTTAAATAGTTGGTAACGGTAAGCTTGCATATGTTTGTGTTTATCCCTTGACGTGTGTTTAGGCGCAGCGTTTTAGCAACCTTCTTGGAAGTCGTTGTTTTTGAGTGTTTAGCACAGCTTCCCCCAGAGATTGACACTATCAATTACCTCCCATTGAGTGCATTTGTTCGGTGCTTATAGGACTGCCTTCTTATTGACCTGCCCAGTTCGGGGTCTTTAGGGTCTTCTTTGGTTTTGACTGTTGCTCGTCTGCTAAACTGAATGCTATTTAGACAGTAGCAACACACCTAACTGCAAGCTGTCTGAGTTTCGCTGCGGTGAAAGCAGCGTGTGTCCAGTCTCCTTGTGATTTTTGCAGATGGTTATTGGCATAGTCCGTCGTGATACTTGTTCGTTCCTTGATCTCAACGTTCATTCATGTATTCTATCCGTGAAATTTCACGCATTCTGTACTCCGTGTTCTTGCCTATTGGCCGGTAGGTTGCTGGTGGTTCTATCGTCTGGAGATGACCATATGTTACAGTAAAACTGCTAATCCACTGAATGCCGTCAGTCAGGACCGGTTTGTCGATCGGGTTAGGGTGCAGTGCAGCTGTGCCACACAGAGACACATCATGTTGCTAGAAATATCCCTTATAATAACTTACTTATCACTTTAACATCCCTGATAACCACAGTGGAACCATTTGGAATTGCACTGATTGTCCCTCTGAGGTTGTTCTTTCACAAGCATCGACCTGGGCCCCAGCGACCCCACTAGAGTTGGTGTCACCCAGTGCGTTAATTTATGGGGTCACCACCCCACTACTTACCCCATAGACCTTTCTTTTTGGTTATCAGTTAAAGTTTACCAACTCAAATCCGTGCCTTTTCTAGCAAGATTTGGGGTGAATCACATGAATTTGTTAAATAACCGCTTTTTTCTGAACTCATTGACAAAAGCATAGATACTAATATTTTGCATTGTTGTGTCAACCCACAGCGACGCCTCTGAAAATTGCTTCCGACCACATGGCATCCGCTTACATAGGGCTATACTTAACAAAATAAGGTGTCTTTCAAAATCTACAAAGATAATCCTTTCTAACCTTAACTGATGTGATCAAACGAGTTCAGAACGCATCGTGATGTGCAACTTTTTCGGCGGAAAGACCAGATTTCCCTCTGGTTCATCAGCTACAGTCATAGTGATCGAATTTACCAATGGTTACTTCAGTGTGAATAGCGGTCTATCTTGAGATGGTGTGTCGCAACCCAAACATACAGCAAGTACTTCAAAATGACCCTCCAATCAACCAGGATATTCCGTTGATATGTTTGGGGATGAAATAATTCCACGAGCCTCAGGTAACTGGCATTTGCCAGATGCAAACCAAAAGGGGTGCTGTGAGGTTGCTACCTGTTTGCAACTAAGAGCAGCAAGCAGAATACCTTATAGACTTATGTATTGAATAACCTGAAAAGTTGGGGTATTATCAGGAACATACTTTGGAGGATCCGGTGCTCCGGGAGCGCAACAGCTAATCCATCATAGTTTTACCTCAATGAAGAGCCCACCAGCATTCGGGACCTTGGCCATCCCTTCCCTAGTTGATGTTCACTCTTGACACCGACCAGCAGGTGAACCGTGGCCATGCTCCTATAATACAGCGGATTACTAGTGATGTGTCTGTTCGTCGAACAACCCGCGGCTATCCGTCGGAGGTGGCAGAAGGGCGCTCTTCACTGCAACCGCGCTTTGCAACTTCAACTGGAGACAAAGTGCTCTTCAGTAGCATCCAATGTAGTTCTCTTTTCCCCTTGTGCCCACAAGTGTTGCACTTTGCATCGCACTACATGGAACTCGACAACTGGGGCAACCAGTAAGCGGCATTCAGTGATGCATGCCATTACCTCATCTCCTTGCTTCGTCACACGTGCGCATTCATGGTCCGGTGGTTTTGTGCACAGATGACGCTAATCCAACGTAAACACCACGAAATGGTCGCCTCAGTGTCATCGGTACAAACAGCTCTTTCGGTGCTGAATCTTTGGTGGTGCTACCCCTTATCAGTTGGAGACAGCACGCGTTTACGACTGAATGCTCCCGTTGCCTAAGCAACAGTAAAAGCATCAACACACGCAGAGACAGAAGCAGGTAAGCATCTGCCATCACACGCTGGCACAAAATGCAATGTACCTAGTCGCTTCCGAGGCTCAGCGAAACTTCGGAAGTTATGCGTACAATTCCCCCCCCCCCAAATGGAGGCTTGACCACAAGAGCGATAGTATGGTTTACTTGTTTTTCGTCAGAAGCTGATAAGTTTGTACAAGAAATATCACTGGTTTGCTCTGAATGAAGATAAATAGCAGATAATTTTCTGTTATTCTCATTTGTTAATCGTTGTCTGAGTAATCCATTTGGGTCGATTGATCGAGGGTCATAAGTGGGGGGTGAAAGAAAAAATACGATAACCTCTGATCGATCCCTCAAGTAAAGGGACGGACAGTCTTCAGGAGGACAATTATGTCACGCGGCTGTGCATCCCTTCGATTGGACGCTGAACCTGTTGAGCGGGTTCAGAGTAGTTGTCAGATCAAGAACGTCACATCAATAGTTGGCAAATGGCCTTGAATTGGGCGACCAAACCCATCATTCGTGCTGAGGGAGCACGCAGTACTTGTACCGATGGTTAATGTGCTGAGAGTAGGATCCCGAGTGGCTAAATCTCTTGCCGCAACGCTGACAGGCGAATGGTTTCTCCCCGGTGTGCAACCGGCGATGCTCAGTCAGGTGATGCTTGTGCTTGAAAGCCTTGCTGCAAGTACGACAAACGAAGGGCCGTTCACCTAAATCGATGGACAAAAACAGAAATATTAATTGGTATACTGCCGAGTAACTACAGCAAATTATCAAACGGGTGAACGGAAATAGAATTCAATTGGGGTTGTGTAAGCAATTCCATGGAAGAAAACAATGGCCAGCATGCTAAACATGGTTAGTACAGTTAGAATTCCCATAAAGCACAAAAACTAACAGCGTCTGATTGAATGTAACAACACTGGACAGTGGTGTTACTCGGAGGGTAAGAAGGCATACATGGGTGCCCGTGGGCGAAGCGCATCACTGAGCTCTGTGTGCGACCTCTCAGGTGACACCTGCTAGGAGGATGTCTACTGGACACCTTTTTGTGACCATTCCTAGTTACCGGCTTGTATCTTGTTATCGTGCACTTCTTGATCTTTGTTTAAACACATCATTTCTTTAATTTCATCGGCCCGTAGGCCTCTTTCTTAACATGGGTGATCTCAGGGTGCAGTTTATTCTAATACAGTTTTCTCGGACACACATGCTTTGTTTGTACTTTTATCGCCTCTATTTCGCCTGTGTCATCCAGCTTCCCCTAGCTTGTTGGTTGACTCCGATGTGTTTTAGCAGCTTTGCTTCTCCCACTATGGTACCCTACATAAGCGATGCCGTATTCGCATGTATCTACTGCTGTCTTGTCTCTTCTTTCGTGTTCTCATTGCGGTTGTGGGGTGTTAGTACTTCGTGGTGATTTGCCAACAGCTCACACTACTTCCGTGCCCGCACGCAAGGAGATTGTGTCTAATGCCAGATAATTTCCCAACTGCTTCAAATGTTCAGCTGTTAAAGTTTTATCCCAATAGTCTCTCGTCGGTCGAATATGCAGGAAGCCAATGTCATTCAATGGTTCAGTTCCCAAGTAACTTGTTAAACCCGTCTTTGGATAATGCTCTGGAAGATTCAGCTTAGCCAGTCATAAACGCGGGGTTTCCGCTGCCGTAAAAGGGAAAGCACGTGAAATTTTTTCTCCATTCAATATCAACCGTCGAGCGCATCCCTGTACAAGTCACATTGATACTAATAAAGACAGAATATATATATATATATAAGCATTAGTCACTTCGTTCCGGATAGGATACAAAATTTCCCTGTACCAGAAGTGCATTACGTGCGATCAAACGGAACACAATCTAGGCGCAAGAGTGGCGGATGCATATGCGCTTATCTGCTTTCGATCGTTGGCCTTGTGCTGCCTGTCTGTTGTGCGTACCAAAATGAAGACATTTACATATTCGTTGAATCGGAACTTCGTTAATCCTATACAGCGGCATTTCTTTCTCAGGTGTAAACACCATTCAACATGTGTGCGAAAAATATTGGAAATCAGTGCAGCCAAGAAAAGTGTAACCCGGACACCGTTTTCCCATTCACTTTGAACCCCTCCCCTGTCGTCTACTCTCGGACACGCATACACTTGCAGAGCCTCACCTTCCCAGCCCGTGAGTCAAACCAGACTAGGCACGCTACTGAATTGTGAACACATTAATCTTCCTGTCTCCGTGGGTGCGCATACACGCACGCAAATAGGAAGGAGAGACCAGCGAGACGACTTAGTTTATTTTGCCGTGCAATCTTGCGTGATAAAACAAGAAAGGAGTAGTGCATCTGCCTAGGGTGAATGCGAAACTTATATACGATCGATTCACTAAACTCAGGACACCGAGTTGGCAATCGCTCACATTCGAAGCCATTGGGCATGAAAATTCAGATTAGCGGTCTCCTTTGGTATACAGTGGCATAACCTGCCGACCAGCGGCACATGCTACTAGTGGTTATAGTTTCAGAACCTGATGGAACCGAGATGGATGCGCATTAGAGACGAACTCCGATGGAACGAACCGGCCGTCTAGTGCCGTTCGGGGCATGTGGTGGACTACCTGATTTTAAAGCTGTTATGAAAAGATAACCCAGTTAGATACGGAACATGTTAAGTAAGCTGAGTAGGCTTGCACAGCGGAGTTCAGCCAGCTACAGTAAAAGACAACGACGTCTTTACGGTCATGTCAAACTGAGGTTTAGTAGTAGGAATGAGGCCTGTGGCACATCGGGACCTAGGACGGCCGATATCTTCTTAAATGTGTTAAGCTTCACAAGGTCATGTTGTAGTCATCTACAAAAGGGAACAGCTTCCCAATCTCTGTTACGATGAACAATATCTAAGCGATCTGCAGTAAGCTGAAGCACCATAAGTGTCACAAAGTCAACTACTCCAGTGCGCATGTCATATGGCTCTAGGGACCATATAAAACCGAAACCTGATTTGACAACCTCTTGAAGTGTAAAGTACTGCTCCATAATTAGCCCACACCCGCTCCAGTGTTCACCCTTGAAAGTGCACAATTTGGACAGGTAGATAGTTACGTATACCTTGGGAGTTGTGTTTTTGCTGACGGCACTATCAGCAAAGAAATTTCTCTTCGCATCGCCGTAGCCCGATCAGCATTTGTCAATCCAAGTCTCTTGTGGCGTCATTCGGAAGCCTCAATTTCGATAAGGGGCAGGATTTATAGTGCATTTGTTTGTTCGGTATGGTTGTATGGAATCGAGTCCTAAACGATTCGCGTGGAGAACACGTACCGTCTTTCGGCTTCCGACAACGGTTGTTTGAGGAGAATCGCTCGTGTGTGGTGGCAACACCGAGTTCTCAATGATGACGTTAGACTTTGTGTTCTTGGGAATGCGAGTTTTCCCTTCAACAAACTGGTTTTACTGCACTATTTGTGATGGATTGCTCAAGTCCTACGCATGCCGCCTAAGCGTTTGCCACGCCGCGCTCTGTTTGTTCGTTCAGGACCGGGCTGGAGACGACCGCGTGGTAGTCAGCCTTCCACTTGGCGACAGAACCTGAAATCGCTGACGTCGCGTCTAACCGCCGTTGGACCCGTACGTTTTCCTGAATGAGCACCCACTGAAGAAGTGAGTTGGTGGCTTGACACACTTGACGACACAGCACGCAACCGGAATCAGTGGAAGAACTGTGTACCGAATTGTACTGATGCACACGTTTAATACCTAGAACATTAAGGATGAGGAAAAAGGAACAAATCGACATGTGACAGACGAAACATTTTCGTTTGTTCTATTGTTTAGCAAATTATGCTTTCCTTTGACTTTCGTGGCTTCTTTCGATTGCTTCACGTCAAATATTTGATATATATATATATATATATATATATATATATATATATATGGTTGGCGGCATCCGATTCGGATTCGTCTGTCACTGTGGCCAGCCACAGGACGCCCGCGCCTACAGAGGGACCATGGGTGGCTCCCGCTGCACCACCCACAGCTCCGTCCACACACCCCATATCCAGTGTAAACCCGAAGGAATAAGACCGGGACGCATGTGGATGGGAGCCACGTTTCATCAACGGAGACGGCCCACACTTCTTCACAGACAAACACAAGCACGCTGTATTGGGGAATTAAGCGCACACAAGGCGGTGGCTGGACCGTGGTCCGCTCCACACTGAGTGCATGGAACCACTCTTCGAGCCTAACACGGCCACAAGGACCGTGCACCCAATCTCCTCCAGCAACGACCAGCTGTCTTTGATGGAGCTAGTCTGGACGAGGTAGTGGGTAATAGACAGGTAGGCACCTTGTCAACTTGCACATCAAAAGCAGCTATACCGGGGATATCAAGCAACAGCCAATCACTTGAAATGACCATATCAGATAAAATAAATCGAATAACGCATACGGATGTGCCGACATAGCTCTTTAATAAATGAGCATATGAAATAAATTGGTTGCCAAAAATCTGCTATAGTTTCAAGACGCCAGAAAATATATTTTAGGCAAATGTCACAAACGCGAAAATGTTATGAAACTTAACTGCAATTAGCTTAAGCGACGTGTGCAGGTTAATAGAAGACAGTTCACATAGACAATAATGAGACAATCTAGCAAACCCACCACCTGAAATAAAGAGACGTAGCATGCATGCCACATAGCCAGATGTATGCCAGTAACCTCAAGAGACGAAGTGCACGCGCAATTCTTGTTAAAGGAGAATGCGGAAATCGCGCCGACAAGAATGTTATCACCTGAAGTTGCGCTTTCAGTTCAGACCACACGCTGAGTTGGTACGGAACAGAATGTTGTAAGCTCAGCTTCTCAATTTGTTGCTCCAACCGTTCGCTGGACTTAGAAATTCTGTTCCAATCATATTGCGACAAATCGAGGTGACATCATCGTTACGTTGGTGTCAGCAGAGTGAAGCGTCGCTACATAACACGTAGTTCTGTGAATGCACCCTGCAGCATGTACGTCCAGCGCAGAATAGGTGCTACAAGGATACGGTTTCGCGAGCACAGACCAACGAAGCTCCCGAATCGTGGTCACGCGAGCACCTTACCCAAGGACCAGAACGAGCTGATGTCCAACGGTAAGACTGCAACACACCGGAAAGACATCGATCAACAGACTAGTGTTTGTTTGAAATTGGTACCCAGAATCGATCGAGCAATCTGTACAGTGTAGTTTAACTCATGATTTTTCTTGAAGTAACAGTTTTATCGCGTACTCGTCCTGCTTCTTCTTCCTTACTGGGAACGGGCTTACTCGCTACTCTCGCAGCTTTCGATACAACAACATGACTATGTCATATTTCGACAACGCCTCTACTATTCCGCAGCGTAATCGTGGAGGAGTGAGACAGTTGTATACAAGTCGTAGATTAATCGGCATCCTGGTAGGTAGCAACGAGACCATTGCATGAAGCATGAAACCCAGCTACTAGGCTGCTGGTAGTTAGTCGGTGGTCTTACTCAGCACGCTACAAAGGCCTGGATCTATTGGACCACCGCAAAACTATCCCAGCGGAGTCTAATCATGAAATGCGCCGTTCTGTCAGTCGGCAGCTCAAACAAAGCCTACGAAGGGACCGCAAGGTCTGGTGGTCTCAGCGTGCTTCGGAGATAGAGGACGTTTCCTGATCTAACAATAGTCGCAAGCTGTTCCAGCTCCTTCGTTCTACTGGATACGGGAGACCCGGTATCAGTGAGACTATTTACAAAGCTGACGGTTCGCCGATTGCTAACCTACTGAGACGTTGGGATCGATGGGCCGAGCAGTTTCATTGGCAGTTCAATTGGCCCTCACCGTCCACTTGTATCCCCTGCGAATCCAGCTGCCTGCCCTGGGTCGTCACACTTAATCCTGTCGGCAAAGCGGAAGTTTGCTTTGAGATTTAGCCTTGGAAACGATTGAACGCTGACGGCTCAGATGGACTTCCTCCGGGGCTGTTCAAGGATGGAGGCGGTTATCATCACCCAGCTAAACCGTTTGTTCTCCAAAACAAGGCATGAAGAAAAGGTCCCTTCTTCCAGGGGCGAGTCAGTTATTGTTCTGATTTTTAACAACAGTGCTCGCACTTCTTACACCAACCACCGGGGGATCAGTCTCATTTCGGTTACCGCCAAGCTTTTGGCATCCAATCTAACCGGTAGACTACCCTCGATTCGTGAATCGCAGTACCGGAAAAAAGAAGCTGGCCTTCGTTCTGGTGATGGGAGCGTGAATCAAATATTCACCCTTCGCCGAATCCTCGAACACCGCCACATCTACCAGAAGCCTACCATCGTTGATTTCTTAGACATCCGTGCAGCATTCGGCTCGGTCAATCGATCTACGCTATGCCTTCGCTTGCTAAAGAACGGTATCCCAGCAAAGTACGCTGGCATCCTGCGAGCACTCCACCTCCATATCTCAGGTCCAGTGAGGGTCTATGACAAGCTTTCATCGTCCTTCGCTATCAATAGCGGTGCACGACAGGGCTGCTGTTTGTCCCCGCTCTTCTTCAATTTTACGATTGAAGACATCCTGTCGAGAGCTGTGGAGGGTTAACAACATTTTGTTCCGCAACTATTACCGGGTAAGCCAGCAACCGACTTAGACTATGCCTATGACATTGCCTTACTTGGTGATGACTCACAGAGTATGCAAACCATTTCAAACCGTTTGGTGATTGAGGCATCTACGCAAGGAATGTGCTTCGTCCAGTCGAAGTGTAAAGTGCTGCTCCAGGACTGACACTCGCCAGTTCCAGTGCTCACATTTGAAGGCACACAGCTTGAACAAGTGTATGGCTTTGTCTACCTCGACACTTGCGTGTCTGCTGTGGCATTGTTGAGAAGGAAGTTTTCCTCCCCATCGCCAAAAATCAAGCGAATTTTGTCAACCTGCAACATTTGTAGCATCGTCGAGATGTCCCCCTCCTGGTGAAGGGTCGCGTTTACAGTGCAACCGTCCGGGCGGTGTTGTTACATGGAAGCCAGTGGTGACCAGTTCGCGTGAATGACGTGTCGGCTCCGGGCCTTCGACGATAGATGCTTGAGGACGATGCCTGGTGTGTGGTGGCAACAACGTATTTACAACAGTGAAGCCAAAGGTTTTTGTCTTAGGGATGCGAGTATTGCCTTCGACAAGCTGGTTTTGCTGCGTCAGTTAAGGTTCTCAGTCACCTCCTGTATATGTCAGCTGGAAGAGACCATGTGGCGGTTAACCGTCCACTCGGCGACAGCATATAGATTGGTTGACTTCACGTCATGCTACCGTCGGATTCACACGTCTGCCTGGTTGGGGACCATAGGAAGATGAGTGCCGATGGCTCGAAACAATGCAGGATATGGCGCGCAATCGAACCCAGTGGAAGATCGGTGTATATACTTGTTTAGATTCAGACGCTTATTGCTTAACTAGTGAAAAGATAAAAAAATGAATAATGGGGTGTGTGTGGGGGGCGCTGTAGCTGTACCTGTTGCTCACCTTCAGCGAATGTTCTGTAATGATGGTACGTTGATTAAACGTGTATTCTTTCAGTGGTTGTCATGGTTTTGTTTAGCCCTATGTCCATTCATTAGACCTTTGCTAATACTAATAATAATAATAATAATAATAATAATAATAACCAAAATGTTGAGTAGAAGCAGTGAAGACTCCAGCCCGCCAAGTCAGTAGTGCGGCATATATTCCTCATTTCTCACCTTGAAACCCTACGGTAATCGACCTCATGTGCTAAGGCACATTCCGTCGTTTGAGAGTGAACAGCAAACCATCGGTTCACAAATTCTCTTGTCAAATGTTCACTGCATGTTCGCTTGAGGCCACTTAAAGCAGGCGCTATACTTACAAATTCGATCCCATCTGTTTCCTAATTGTTGTCATGTGGATATCTTGGTCAGTCCATCGGGGCGCATTCAAATTTTATTGACATGGTTTTCGCGGACTTTACTAGTCTCGCTCCGACCATGCTACAATACTTGGTAGGCCCTATTGTCCCAAATTGGAAAACCGCAAAAATCCAAACGCGTCATCGTTCACTAGCCATCGGCTGTACTCCGAATCAGAACGGACTTGCATCGGACCTACTCAAGTGTTCTTTTGCTCCTTAGGATGCACTATGGTCCTGTAGTGGACTTTCTTTTGACATACTGTACGTGTTGTATTACCCACATCGTGTGTTCGACCAGGTAAAATGCCCTTTACAGGCAGTTCTCATCTCCCCACAGGGCTCCCAGAAAGCTAGGGGATGTCTGCATCATCGGCGCTGGGCGGCGTCAGTCGTGCGTGTAGCTTGGATGTGTGATCGGCCGAGTGGTGTTCCTGACACCGCTTTAAGGTTCATCTTGAAGCAACTATTCTGTGAAGATAACAGAGTGCAGTAAAAACAAGATCAGGCTACTGGGTTCCAACGGTCACCAGGACCACCAGTGTTTCTAGGCATATTAGGCAATCTTGGGATGGTAGAGTGTTGACGGTTGTGAAGGCAGCTGCACTAAAGAGAAGATGGCCGTCTGCTTCAAGTAATCGCATAACCTACAACTTGCCATACATCACAACTGAGCCAAAATTGCCTCAAGTAAGCATTGATTAAGGTATGTTCCAACAAGTTGCATACTGCTGGATACAGTTCACGTACCTTACTGCCTTTATGGACTAAGTCTAATGGGATAAGCCACTTGCAGTCCATACTACCTAATTGTAGGTGGTGTCTAAGACAAAGTACAAGAATATGTCTGGATAGATGCCACATATACCAATCTGTTCTATTCAGGTTTATTGAAGGAATAGGCTGAAGCGAAACCGCCATATGATGCGAGTCGCTAAACCAATCAAGCGTGAACTTGTGCGGTCATCCACGGATGCGCACCCACCGTTTCACTTGGAAACGTGAACGCTGAGTAAACGAATATGCGCACAAGCAATGTCCAGACCTCCAGTGGAGTAAAGTACAATAGAGCTGGTGATCGTTGCTAACTTGGTGAAACCCTTCAACACAGGCTATCGTGAAGCAACCCCTCTCACTATACACCAAAACTTCTGGATTATGTTTGACACTTCTATGGTTGCAACTGTCCCACTGATAAATCAAGTCATCAAATCTTAAAGCGGCTGGCAGCTCAACAAAATAGAAAGTACTACAATTGTAACTTGTGTGAGGACTTCCTTTATTGTGCACAACGAAGTTAGTCTTACCGAGCAGGCGAAAATTGGAATACTTAAAAAACCGTGTTGACTCGATTGGCATCCTGAAATTTAATATATACTCACCTGTATGTTCATACTTGTGCCGTGAGAGAGAACTCTGTTTGGAAAACACTTTGTGACACTGACCACAGACTAGTTGTTCGCCTGAGGCGCTGTCGCTCCCTCCCACACCGCTACTGCATTCGGCTGCTCCATTGCACTCGGACCGATCACTGCAATTATCGAGAATCTACAAAGAGCAACATGGTCCGTGTTACGCGAATGAAATAATTGTACAGGTAACGCTTGTAGGCACAGGGTCAAAAATATGCTAACGAAGTGCTTTGCTGAGAAGCCAGACAGCTATATTAAAACGTCCATAGCTTATTACCCCTGAGGCGAAAAACCACGTCAGTCTATGGACTTCCATATCTTGCCGTGAGGCAGGCTACTTAGTGCAAATGTGAAAACGCTGTCAGTGTGGTAGCATGCACAAGCAAGAGTATGCACTTCCCATTGAGAACATTCCGACTTTGATCATTCACCGGTGACCTCATCCAACCATCATCCCACCTGAGCAGAAAGTGTTTCCGGTCAAGCGAGCATACTGCTGCTATTTGTGACATTGGTGGTTGACCCCCCCCCCCCCACTTGGACTTGAGTTCATCCTCTTCGCATGGAAGTTCATGTTGTCAAAACCAGCAGACCAAGTGGTCCGTGAATAGACATAGGAATCTTACGGTGTAGTCAGGATTTACAGACTTACGTACATTGTCATGCTCCTTACCTGAGCCGTTTTCACAAAAATCGGGTCTGATTCTCCCACGGGCATACTACTCTTGAATTCCGCACACCGTTCAGAAAATGGGCTGGAAACATACGACCGGAAAGTATCGGTTCTACCAGTAAGAGTACGCTATACCAGGAAATTTGTGCTCAAAATCGAAATACTTTGAACCATTGCTCACGGCCTGATGCCACTGCGGCTGCTTTTGCACCGAATGGATCCGGTGCAGCACAGAGTGACACTCCAGCGGTGCGGACAGCACTGAAGGGGAGAGACTTAAATGCTTACGCTCCACCAGTCTGTCAGGTATGTGACAGATAGGAAAGTAAACTTTTTTAACTTTCCGGTATGCAGAACCATTGGAATGCTTTCAGGGATGTGGATAGCAAATTTTTGCACAAACTTTCCATACATTACTAAGGTCTGCACATTTTGTTTTACTAGACGATTCCTTGGGTTCTGTATAATAGAAAAAACATTTCTATTTTCGACCGTAATCCCTTACCGCTGGCTATTGGAAAGCAATGTATAAGCTTATTACACTATATACAGCCATCTTTCACGTTGTTATCCGTTTACTCATCAGTACCCCCTTCCTTACAATTTGTCATCTATTGCAACGTAGCAATTACTTGCTCTCACACACTATGTTGTGTTCTCTTATACAAACAATCACGTGCCACGCAGGTAGGGATTCCATCAAATAACGCGAAAGTATTGTTGATTGTAAGAAGCGGAGTATTAAAAGCTTATATAAAAAGAAATACTATATTTTCGTCCGATTTTTTCATTTGAATGTTAGCGTAGCAGACTGCTGGAACTCTACCAACGTAAGTTGACGGCCAGGTAATCAGACGCATTACAGTTTTGCTCAGCCAGACGGTGAACACTGACATCATGCGGTTGCGGACTGATACTACCGAAGAGGTGCGTTCACACAAAAACCAAATGGGAAAGGGTGATTCTTTATTTGGTTACGCTATTATCTATGCATGTAGGTCGGAATAGCACCTAGACTAAGCTTCCTTTCAGTATCTATCAATGGTTTGCTATGAGCTTATTAATCTCTCCTGGCTTGCCTCATGGAGCCCTACTCAAGGTGGCATGAAAAATCACCAATGAGAGGTGCATGCCACATGGTGAATCGCGTTTTACTTCTAGACTCTGGTACACATACGAGTCGGCGTACTTAGACAACCCACGTGGCGCTGGGCTGAGTTCATTGCACCCTAGCGGAAAACATGGCGCCTCGTTCGCTCGATCGACCGATTGATCACATCTCACCGTATTCGGTGCAAACGAGGTTGCACGAAACTCACTAAGTTGTAAGTTGCGTTTTACCGCAAACTATGATAACAATCCATCAAACTGGTCTTCTGGGCATGGCAGACTCAGCTGCACAAGTCACTTCGTTCGCACATAACGTGATAAAACTTTGAGCCACATCCTGTGTGGAAAACATGACGAAAACCGCTTAACATTACATTCAGATGAGTATGTTGTTACCGTATGTGTATGAGTACCGATCGGCCAGCCAGCATAACATTTTGGCCACAAATTCCAAAATGTCTGCAAGACTACCATTGAATAAGAACACGCACATACTAGTGTAGCTGATTTCAAATGTGTTATGTGGTTGTCGCATCACGAGGTGGGATCATTACAGGCTTCCTAGGGCCCCCTAGATCACTGACCTAATCAGCCAACTCTGCCCCAAAACCGCAGCTATCTTTCACTGGCTAATAGCTACAAACAAATCATGCAATTCACATCCATCTTCGAACTCTGGGTCTGGTCCATCCGCTGAGGTAACGTCCCCTCGCAGCACACCGAATTGTAATGGAAAAACCTCAATCCAAACGTTAGCTCAGCTGGCGCGGCTGCATTGTAAAAACTTTGCCGGGGAACTGCCTCAACATTGGTTTCATTGGTTTCATCATGAAGAAGCACGAACCTCTTTCACTTGATCATGTTACTGGGGATGATTGGTTGGTCAAATGCATTGCTTGTTGACCACGGAGACTTTCAATGGGCTAGAGCAACTAACCCTATTAAACTTCGTGGTCTTCCGCCTGACGCTTACCTTTAAACCGTGACACTCGTTCGCCACTACGCCCCTCCGATATGTGCCGGTGATACCGCTTACAAACCAATCTGTAGCAGGTGCTGTGTACGGGCGAACTGTTTCATTTACTTTTACTTCAACAGGTAGGTTTTTCCCTCTCCCGAGTGCCTAACATTTTTGCGAACGAAATGGGCTAATCAAACTAGTGTTTGATATTCATTCCTGAAGTAACAAAAACCCTATTAGCGGGTCATCGAGGAGAAAAGTTTCAATTATGGGTGGATGCTGTTTCGAGATAGTTGCAGGCTGTGACAACAAGGTATCGGAAGGTATCAAACTTTAGTTTAAGACAGTTCATCTTTAGTAGATCGCGGAATGGGGCACCATCTCATTGCATGTTACTACAACCTTCCTGCTCTATTCGAACCCCACAGACTAGGTTACTGACTATGCTCCGTAGACTGGGGAATGCCTGGAGATATAACATTCTGTAAGAGTATTCTTTCTAGATGACAACACAACTCACCTTTGTATCTTCTCTGTCTTTTTCGACACTTTCTCTTTCTTCGAACGTCCTATATTCAGTTAGTGGTGATGACTCACACAATAGCAGTGGAGCGGAACGGGAATTGTAGAGCCCAAAGGGATGATTCTCCATCATCCAGGGTCGATCTTCGGTTGCGCCAGTTAGGCCCCCGCTCACTAGTTGTCTCTTGTCTTGTGGTGACGTACAAGTTGACTTTGTGGTTAGTTTCAAAGGCTGCATCATGTTCGGACTAAGTGGCCGTGTGGGTATGGCTGGCGGATCGGGTGGCGATGTGGGGAGTTGAGACTTCTCTTCTAAAGCGCCCGGGAGCCAGTGTAGATACGCTTGGTTCCCTCTACAGATGTTGGCTTCATTCACTGCAGTCTGTTTAGTGAAGCGAGTATCATAGCGGATTCCATGAACAGAAAGATCAAGCGCCATATCCTGCACTGGACAACCAAAGCGATTGACGTTGGGTGTTTCACAGCGTGTTAGTGGAAAGTTTGTCAAGGCAGTGAAGGCAGCCAGTGGATCTTGAACACAATTTAATTTGGCCGGTAGGGTATCGGAATCTAACGGATATGTATATGTGGGTCGAATGTGGGTGTAGGTCGCACCGACGTTCACCTGCTTGACGTGCAGTTCGGGTGACGCTGAAACTGGTCCGTGCGCTGTAACGCTTTTGGCTTGTGTGAGTGATCGAACATTGTAAAGCCACCACCATGACCAACTCCACCACCAGGCAGCTTTGGGTCCCATTCCCATCAACTCACACAAACTGTGCAATTCATGGACGGATGGGTGGGAATTGGCACGCAGATAGGCATGCAATGCCGCCAACTGTTCAGCGTTCATTATTGCGGTTGATGTGGCGTGGGTTTGACGATTACACGCCTCACCATCCTCCTCGGAGTTGGGAGAATGTTTGAAATCAGAGTGCTTTTTCTCTGAAACACTCACTGTCGTGCTCGAATGAGAAGTCGTAGGATGTGGGAATGAGCTACCCATACTTCTGTCTGCGGGTTGGGGATGGTGATGTAATTGATGTATGTTCGTAGGACTCGTTTGGGTTTTCGATTGTAATTGCGCACTAATCTTGGGTGAAATGGCCGGAGGCAGGTTTGAATCCGTGCGGTTCCCGACCGGATCCGTTGGGCACAACTGCGCCGGTAGAGTGGACTGAGAGCTACTACATTTTTTACTCGTTGTGTGACTGGAGTAAGATCCCGAGTGACTAAAGCGTTTCCCGCATTGTTGACACATAAACGGTTTCTCACCCGTGTGAATCCTTTCATGCTCTTTCAAATGATGCTTAAATTTAAACGCCTTGTTGCACTCGGAACACCGAAACTTGCGGAGCTCGTAGCTCTCTGCATGGCTCAATAGGTGACGGTGAAGACGATAGACGTTGGCGAACTGCTTGCCACATTGACCACATGCAGGAACGGAGCGGCTTGAATCCACTTTTTGAACTGGAGATCCAGGTGTATCTATCGTCGTGAACTCATCATGCTCACTTGTGATGGTACGCCTGCACCGTTTTATAAGTGTGGCATCGCACTCCTGAGCCTCGAGTCCAGTTGTGCCGTTATTCATATGCACTGCAAAAGAAATATTGAATGCATCGTTGGAGCAAACAGAAGTGCGACAACCACAAGTCCCATATCGAGTGTTTTTTGAAGTATAATTTATGAACCGGTCAACGCCATGATCTAGCGGTGGATCGTATTGAAACATTGCACCTATGGTGTCACTTTTCGATTTTCGGTCACTCAATGGGTGCGCCTACATACGCTGTAGTGGTTAGTTTGACCTTCACCACGCCCGTCCCATTATTTGGGTAACTACAATTCAAAGCGCCTCTTCCGTTTTTCACTGGTTATTAACACAGGTAAGCTGGGCACGTGGGACAGAGACAGGGATGAAGTGGAGTGAGGAGCAAAACCGGAGGTGAATGGTCTGCTGCGACACCTAAGGCCATGAACACACCTACACACTTATCACGCGCTTACACGATAAATGGCCAATTAGGAGTCAGATAATCCGATCTGGTTCTGCATGGATTTGTGCACACACGATAAAAAACACACACACAAGTACACAGCTCCAGGACCCACAACGCACATGCGTACGGGAGAACGGTGGCAATGGCACCCGTCGCCCGTGGTCAACATGTGCGTAGCTGGCCATAGTGCGTCCACCTATGGGCCGATTGGTGGAGCAATCGCTGCAACGCGTAGGAAGTGTCGCAGAGGATTGAGGGCCGTAACGACGACAGGACACTCGTACCATAAGGTGTTCAGGTGGGCTACGTACCCATGAATGGGTAGAGAGAAATGCCCGCTAGAACGTTTCGCTGCTTGCTTCTCAGTGCTACCAGACAATGTACACTAAAGAATCCGTTCGACTCGACTCCGGTCACTGAAATGGTGGTGTGCCTAAACAACTTTGTGCTAATATGATCCGGTTTGTGAAACTATATTTCCTCACTTCTGACACGCAACTGGCTTTCAGTTCGGCACTAGATGGAATAGGGGTGACAACTTGTCGTGTTCAGGTGGTCACATTTGCGCTAATCCTGTCAAAACTGTTCGTCCTCATAGAAGCAATCGAGGGTTTTGCAGCTACCTGAACTCTAGACGAATTTTTGAATCACTTGATTAATGCTGGTATTGCTAAGGTCTTAGTAATGTCTATAATGTATATCTTATCCGTAAGTAGTTTAAGTAACGGCTGAATATCGTGATTCATTGGGATAGCCATGTTATTTTTCTAGCTGATACTGTTCGTAAAATTAAAAATACCAAATTATTTCTCTTTTCATCACATAACTGAAAAACTGTAATACCTAGCTGTTTTCTTTCCCTACACAATTGGCAGAAGTTGCAGCAATTTTTAATTGAGTGGATCAGCCTGGTTATCTGTACTCAGATTCGAACGTTCGGTTTTCAGCGATATTCCAGTCCCCTCATACTTGGACATGTGTACCACCCGAAATTTCCACCCCGTTTGTGTGATCCGTCTCCGTGCTAGCCTGCCAATACTTGTGGCAGTGGATTATTTGGCATATATGTGCTACGAATCGAACGGATCGATCGAGCTGTGAGATTCGTATCACATCCGTTCGATGGGACCGAAGTGAACGCTGCCCGTGGCACGTCGTATCGTTGTCAATGGAGTACAATACTGTTTAGTAAAACAGGTGGCTGGCTAATGATACGCCAGTATTCAATCGCTAATTACTTAGCACGCGATGGGGTGATGTCTGTTTCGGAACACCGCGCATCAACTAACGTCTGGTGTCGTTAAACAGATTGACCAAACTGTTAAAATCTGTTACACCCGCTGTTGGTTCCTTTACACCCTTGGTCATACGTAGTTCGGCTCTGGTTTGCCGATTCTACCGGATCGATGAAACGCGTTAAGCAACAGAAAATTGGCATTCGATAAAAAGGCGCACGGGCATTCCCCCCGATGCTTAAGCACTAATCGTCGGCGTAGACGACGATTGGTGCTCACCTGGACTCAGTTATGTTCGATCTGTTATTGAACGATTCATGCAGCTATTCTTATCTAGAAGGATGGAGCAAAGGAATACTCGTCTATGGCAAGCTCAATAGATTCCTTAGGTTGGTAAGGAAAGGCATTGCAAATTCGAGGATTATACAAGTAGGCAAAAATTAAATGCGCATTGGTGAAGTGACAGAGTAACGGTATATTAAAAGCATGATCGTGGGATTGAGATGGCACCATGCAAAACCGATTGATAAGTTGAAATGGCTAATGTTTATTGTACAGAACAGTCGGATTGCTCACTCGTCTGCAATGAGCTACGTGCATTTGTGTGAACTAAAATTCTAAAAAGATAGTGAGCCGGAATACGTTTTTGGGGGCAACTGTCCGTGTAACAAAGGGAAGAGAGCTAAACGCGTTATCCACACTTTTTTTGACAATAGCTAAGCTCGGGGCATAAACAACTGCATCTGGGAGGCCCTACAACGGTAGGCAAACTCGGAAGGAAAAGTATATACCTTGAGAATGTAGACTACTGTACTGTTGACTTAGTTTCAGGCTATTGCCTCTCAGATTTGTGTGCAGAATGAGTTTGAGACTAGGATATTTCAGTATTTGGTAGAGTATTATGAGGTCATCACATAGTCGCCGGTAGCGTCCGCTGAACACTCCGAGTTTCTACAGCCCCTTCTTGGTACAGATTTTTCTTTGTTGCTTATCATGGGTTCCATTTAGTACAGCGAAGTCCGTGCTTGGTAAGACCCTAAGCGGAAAATTTTTAGAGGTTACACGGCTATGAAAGTTGAAGAATAAGCTTTGCTGACCGGGTCACTGACAATGCTATAATTGTGAATTCCCTGAAACTATATTGGAGTAAGGGTCAAAGCAGTTGGTATTGTTATCTAGTGTTGCTGTTTGTGTTAGTAATATCCATTAAACATAGATGTAAACCCAGTTTGTATAAACCAGCTAGTATCCTATAGACTGATCTTCGAGAAACGTCGATGATAAACGGAGGTATGGTGGAACTGGTGATATAAAGTAGGAAATTAGCATTGTAAGTGGAATTCTTCACCCAAAACGAAGTGGTGTTCTTATTTCGTGGAAAAGCCAATAAACCATAAGACTGCACCCATAAGCGAACAAATCGAGGTGAGAAAAAAGGGAGAAGCCAGATCACGAGACAAACCCTGAAGTTGGCTCTCCAAATTCCCAGTGGGATTTCCCTGTGCAGATAGTTCGGGAGACAATGAATCCGCATTGAAACGCTTCTCGCTTCCACACATGGATAAATGGCCAAGTCCGATACAAATTAGGTTGGATTGCAGCAACAACAGTTGATCAGTTGAGTCATCAAAGGAACTGTCCTTCTGCCCTATGTTCAGTTCAACGCACAACAGACACTTGATAAGCACTGCAAGAACAGTAACAGACGGTGAAGCAATAGACAATGAGACATTGCGTTCATCTTCGACAAGTGGACCTAGGGAGGCTTGTGGGCAAGAGAGATTAGGGCGTGGTACATTGATTATCGTCATATTAACTTGTGGATGTTTTACCAACCAGCTGCACAAGTCCCCAAAGTAGCAACTTGACCTAGCGAATATTGTATCCGATCCCACAAACGACTCTGACAACTCGCACGATGAGTTGCCCCACGCGGTCCGGTGATGAATTCGCGAATACAAGCGGGTGAGATTGTTGGAAAAGCCGACCCACGCATGGTTGTATTTGTGATATAGTTCCATACCGGACATTAACGAAGAAATCAAGTGAGAACGTTTGCACTTTCTTCTATGAGTGCCTCCTCTTTGTTCCCCTCCGAAATTAGATGCTACCCAACTCAACTTTGCTTCAAACTAAAGTAAACAATCATGTGGATCCGTTCTCTAAAGTAGCTTCAACCACCCTGAGATGGGGAAGGGCGTCGATGAGGTGAGTTCTGTACCAGAAATCTATCCAGTCATATTGTGCCTAAAACGGGGTTGGCCACAAATAACACGACTACCGTGTGTGTGTGTGGATTGATTTGACGCAAGGTGCCACTAGTAGCCTGTTGGTTACGTTCCGTCACTTCATGTAGCAACACCGCAGTTAAAAACAAGATAATTCAGAAACCATTTGGGAATGGAATCGTGTGGCTTCCCGAATTGCGACGCCTCTGATTCACAATCCTGACCGTCGTCGACGCAGCACTCATATTCTGGTATGTATTTGTTCTGAAGCTGGTAGAGGTTGCCGACTCAAATGTCTATCCGAAATGAACACACTTAATTTCAAACGGGTGCTTGGATTATTGATCTGATAGATGACCACCTACCCTTTTTATTCCCCCCCCCCCCCATTAAGGGGCATTTCCGTGCAAACACTGCCTTCTTGATCACTTTAAAAATATTGAGTGGAGGCCCCAAGAATACGGATATTACAGGAGGAACGGACAACTCCCCACATTGTCCCGGAATGCAGCTACAATTCTTAAAAGCGGTTCCCAGATCCGGTCCTATTCATACATCCCGTGAGATTCTGTGGTACAATCAAATCTTCGCATTGTAACTGAGAGAGCCAGGAGCCTGATCGGCTGCTGGGAACCTGAAAGAAGGTAGAGTTGATGAGCGCCAAGTTCATGGTAGACTGGGATATTTTTTCTTGGATGAAGGTACTACATCGCGAATAGAGACCTTAGATTCCACGCACTACACGCAATAAGTTCTTTAAACAACCAATGTGTTACAGAATGCATGGATCGGCTAAGCTTGCTTATACGAGGCCAGTACTGTCGATGAGTAGTGAAGGGTGCTTTAAGTAGAACCGAACCGCAGTTTTTCTAAATATCCAAACTCAAATAGCTTTGTTGTATTGTGTGCCAGACAGCATGTCTGAAACGTTAGGCGAATTTTCCGCATTTGGGCTCTGGGATATCACGGTGGCGGATCAATTCTCGGGAGCACAGCTGTCATCTACTACGAAAAGCGACAATTCGTATCGTGACGATGACAAGCGCATCTGGCCACGGTTCAGAGAAGCTAACTCTTTGAGTTGACCCCGACAGGTGGATATTGACAGTTGGAATCAAACATGCGAGAAGTGATGAAGCGAATAACGAGAATAGAGTACACACCAAGAGTGGAGGAGGTGTTCTGTACAGCGAGTTAGTTCAAGGTGTATCATCGCCTCCTTCAATAACGATACCAAGCTATAAATCACACTCACGCATGCGCGCACGCGCGCACTACTCAGAAGGGATCGTTTCTTGCGTCTGGGGTGGGGTGGACTAAGATGAAACCGAAAAAGGATGGAATGGGATATCAACAGGCTTAAGACATGCATCGGAGCGATAAAAGGGACAACCAGATACGGTGGCGTTTAGCTGCTCAGTCGCGCTTACTCACACATTCGTGCGCGCGCATACACGACTGAGAAAAAATAAACCGATAC